GAGAAAAGAATTTGGAGGCACTGGAAATGACAGGCAACAAACGACATAACTAAAATGAAACTGAGTCTATGTGGAAGTCATTCTTCAATCAGCAAATTATGTATAGTTAAATCAACAAAGAAACATAATACCAGAAGAAAAAGATATAATACATAATTGAGTCAACTTCAATCTGACCTATTTAAACTGAATTCTGAATCAATAAAAAATAGGAAACAGATAGAGGAAAGGACAACACCACCAATTATAATAATCATGTTAGAAGTTTAACTAATTTAAATCAAATACTATGACAAGATAAAGAATCTAGAAAGTGCCTCAGCCAGTAAACTTCTTGCCAAGACACAAGTGTAGACTGTAAGTCATTTGTAAAATCTAATGGAGTATGGTGGAAAATTATGAGCAGTATTTCTCACAATACAATGAGGGATAATGGAAAGAAACATAAGTCTAAAGAAAGCTTGGTGAGAGACTCATCATCACAAGGGCATTTAAGGATGAAACTAGAAGGTAACACATGAAAAAATGAAAAAGCTATAAAAATGAAAAAGTTAGAAATCTTTGTAACAGACTCTTCACCGTTAGGCACAGACAAGGTACATTTGGGCTCTAACAATACAGTTCTGGATATGTTACTATAGACAATGAAAATTGTACTGAAGAAAACAAAGACTCAAATAGAAATCATCTGAACTAGATCAGATACACACAGAGACAAGGTTCATGCTTCAGAAGACAAAATTTTGAGGGCACTGAGGGATTCATTCTCAATATATGTGAAAGAGGATAACAAGGATGTGGGGAAAAAACCTCAGATACTATTACTTTAAAAAAAAGGAAATCAAGAGAACATGAATCACAACTGACTGCCTATACAAAATTTTATGAGAATCATGTACACATGAACTGAGGGGATTTTTCATGATGGGATCATAAGAGAATAAGCAAGGAATTCACAAATGAGTCTTCATAGCAGGCTGAATATCTTTACCAACACAAAACTGAAAATATAGACAACACAAGATCATACTTTACATACTTTATGTGGATATTACTCTAGTCGGTTGGCTGTATGAAAGCATTTGCTTTGGTAGAGGAAAATGCCATCTTAGAGGCTCTTTCCATCAAGGTTGTTTCACAAGCACATCTCAAAATTTTACAAAATATTTTGCAAGATATAACAGAAATAACTTCATTCTGTGACTCCTTCCACAACATTCAGTGAGGAATAAAACAAAGATGTATGGTTGCCAAAGGTGCCTGCCACTATCAAACACCTGGAGGATGATGCAGCACAGAGCTCCAGTTGAAGAGGTCCTCCAGATAGTCCTGGATTGCAGATAAAACTGTACTGACTGTATTAAGTTCCTGAACACTGCAGTGTCTCCTAGATGAAATTCATAATCATCCAGAAGAGTTTGGCTCATTCAATATTATCCACATAGGAAAAACCAAGTGGATGGCTGTCAAAGTCTTGATTTGCAACTGAATGGACAATTTATCAATCTCTCCATCTATCTATCAATAATATATATTTGGACCAGACACTATAAATGGACAATAAGCGGGGCCCAGAGATGAAGAGGAAGAGAGAAAAAGTAAGATGGACTGTCTTTGGGAAACTGCACGAGCTTCTTCTCCACACAAAAGCCCACTTTTTACACCAGTATTTTTCTAGTGATGATGTATGGCTGGGAGTCATGGAATACTAGCCTACTGAAATATTAAGAATCACCCAAAGGACAACAGAGAATGGGTATGAACAGGCTTCAAAAGGCTATAAATTAGGCAGAAATGTGTAAAGGATGTCAGGGAAATGTATGCCTAGGAAAAATGCTGGGACTGGTTATATAATGAAAGCAAGGTACAAATGATGGACTCCTATGTGCTCCATTCTGAAGAAAACATGAAAAAGGCCCTTGCAAGTTGGGTGGACCCTGATGCCAAATTTATGCGACAATATGGTTAAGAGTTATATGGGATGGGAAGGCATGGATGAGCTGTGATCTGTGTAGCAGAAGGAAAATATGTCCATGAATAAGATTCCACACCCACTGGTATACTGTATTACTGTCATTTTTACTATATGCAGAGTTAACTGACATGCACTGGCTTTGTGACCTGGGCAATTCACCCAATCTCTTAATGCCCCAGTAACTTCTCTAAGACTATAAACTGCAGAGCAAGTATGGATCTGCATTGGTAGAAAGTGTTTCCTCCCTGCAAGTTCTCTACACCAATTAAATCACGTGAAGACAAAAATTATACTTGTTAGCTTTTTTCAGCACTACGCTGAATATGAACAGTTACAGGGTGATTTACTCTAATGCTTTTATTTTTCAATTGAGGTCCAGAAAAGGTAAATAATTTGTCTGAGGTTGGGCAGATAGTTAAATGTCCTCAGATTCCATATCCAATACTCTTTCAGCATACCCCCCTGCCTCTGCCAATCATCACCCACTATTCTCTCTTCTGTTATAGCCTTGGCAGATAAGATGGTTCTTCCCCTTGCTACTGCTAAGTCCTCTACTCCTGCCCTTGAATTTATAATCTCCTGTCTCCTCCATGAGCTTGACCTTCTGAAAATCAGGCAGAAGGGGATATCAATTTTCCCTCATCCACTGCCTTTTTCCTCTTGCTTACAAAAATGCCCCAAATCTATTAATCAGTAAGTTATTTATTAAGTACTTATTGTGTACCAAGCACTGTACTAAGCACTGGAGACACAAAGAAAAACCAAAAACAGTTCCTGCCCTCAAAGGGCTTACAGTCTATTAAGGATGGGGAGGAAAGACAACAGGTACATAAGCAGGTACATACAAGCTAGAGTAGATGTACGGTAACTCTAGAGCAAAAGGCACTAACATCTGGGGGAATGGGGAAAGGCCTCCTCCAGTATGTAGAGTTTGAGCTGAGACTTGGAAGGAAGTCAGGGATTCTCAGAAGTGGAAGTGAAGAGGAAGAGCATTTGAGTGATGGGGACAGACATCCTTAAAAAAAACAAAACAAAACCCTTTACTTGAACAAGCCTCTCAAGCAATCATCCTATAGCCACCCTCCCTTTCATATTCAAAGTCTAGAAAAATCTACTTAATTTGCTGTCTTCCTCTTTTCACCTCCCATTTCTCAATTTCTTTCAATATGGCTTTCATCCCCATAAGTGAACTGCAATAATTTCCTCTAAGGTCATCAGTGATGTCTTTACTGCCAAATTCAGTGGTCTTTTCTCAGTCCTTTCCCTTCTTAACCTCTCTCCAGCAGCTGACATTGTTGGCCACTTGTTTTTTCTAGATATTCTCCCAACCTGGGTTTTTGTAACACTGCTTATTCATGGTTCTCTTCCCACGTTTGATCTCCTTTCCTCAGTCACCTTTTAGAGGATCAATATCCTTGTCCTGACCTCCATCTACGTATATGCTTCTGTCCTGGGCCCTCTCCTCTTATCTCTTTATGTTCCATCTTGTTGGTCTCATCATTTCCCATAGACTCAACTACAACCTTTATGTAGAAGATTCCCAAATCTAAACATTTAGCTTTCATCTCTGTCCCAAACTCTAGTCCTGTATCAACAACTGTCTTCTGGGAATTCTTATTTTGCTCTCGACTTTAAAAGGATGGCTCTAGAGTTTGTTGCAAATAAACTGAATTTCAATATACCATTTAATGATACTATGGAAGTATTCCTGAGTAAGGAATGAATTTTATCAAATGCTTATTCAGCAAAATGATAGTTTTTGTGGAAGATTAACCTAATAGCAGGAAAGACTGGTCAAGCAGAATGGACTGGAAGGAAAAGAGACTAAATAGGAGGATATCATAATAAACTAAGTGTGATGACTCCAACTCAGAACTTCCTCTTTCCTGTGGGCTATTTTAGCCCTTAGTGTCCGTGTATGGGAATTTAATCATACACTATTTAAATCATTTAATCTTATATTATTTTCTGTCGCTGCTATTTTTCACAGGTAAACCTTATTTCCCATACTAAATTACAATCTTTACTTTATAACATCTGTTTGATGATAAGGTTTGGGTAGTGGTATATTAAAACTTTTTAGGTCCTCTATGCATAGAGACTAATTGAGGTCTTTCCTCATAATTTGTAATGGTTGTTTCAAAAAAATCCAACAAAAAACCCAAACCCCACAACTAAAATATCACATTGTGAGGAAAGTACTTTATAAACTCCAAAGTACTGAGTAAATGTGAGTTATTATTCACATTAGTAAATGTAAAAACTTTTAAAAATACACTAAAACATTTGATGGAAGACAGACTTATTGTTCTAATGTTTTATTTACAAGTTGTTTTTAACATTTGAAATTTGTATTTTATACTTAACATTTGCATCCTATGGTGGGGCAAAGGAAACGAGAGCTTTTTACACTGCTCCACTGTCTCCCTTTTTGTCCAGACTCGTGTGTGTGTGTGTGTGTGTGTGTGTGTGTGTGTGTGTGCGCGCGTGTAATCCATAGAGCTTACGTACCCTATGGATTTGGGGTCTGTAGTAGTCTTACTGCTCCTTCCCTGTTTATAGGAAAGGGATCAGAGTTCCAGAGCAAGGGCAGAGAGTTGCTCTGCTTCCCACATTTCCACACCAGGACTCTGTGGAAAATTCTGACCTGGAAAGGCTGGGACCCAGGCTAACTGGTTAGCTACAACTAATATTGGGAGCTCCTAGTTGTGTACCTATTCAACAATATGGTACTGCGGTACCAAGAGGGTGATGTTAGTGGGAATGGTAAGAATGGGACAAATCTGAGAAACACTGGGAAGAAAGAATTGACAGGACATGTTGACATGGACACTACTATCATTAACAATCCAAATCAGTTACACTAAGCAAATTGGCTACACAAATTTTCTAACATAGTCAGTTTTCATTATTCATTACAACTTCCCAAACCTCCATGTACCATAAAATGTATAAGCACCTATAAAATAATCTACTTATAGGTATCATTAGCTTTTTTTGGTCAATTACTATGAAGGTTTTTCACCTGCTAATTTCACAATTCCAGCTATCCAGAAGACTTTGGTAGGTAGGCTGCAGTCTGTATTGGGAACTTCCACCCTCACATTTTCTGAGATATCACCCCAGCAGGTCCCCATGGGTGCCTGTCATGTAAAAAGTACCAAATTAGCACCTTATTATTAGCACTCAGCTTGGAATACAATCTTTATTTTTATTAACTGTCACCAACAATGGAAATATGCAAGAAATGACAGACTAATATGTATATTTTCTCAGAAAATTCAACCTTTTCCTTTCCCTTTATTTTTCAGAGAATTTTATTATTTATTTGATATTCCTATAAGTATCTAGTCTCAGGGCTGAATTCAAGTGTAACAGAATTCAAAGAAGTTAAAATACACAAATGTCAGCTTCAGAACTCAGCATATCATCTTAGTACAGTGCATACAAATAATATTTTATAAAAGCAGAATTACAAAACCAACTGTACCTTTCACAAGACAGAGCCAATTTAAGATATTTGTTGCCATTTGTGATATACCTTTGAAGCAATATAATTAATTTGATAAAGAATAACAAGAAAAGCAATTCAAACTAGCAACCTGCCTTTCATGCATTATGTCATTAACTACAGTATTTGGGGCAACATACTCCAAGTTAGTAAGAGAAGGTAGGTAAGAGAAGATGTGAAGGTTCAAGGTATTTTTTCACCTCAGTATTAAAAAAAAATTCCACTTTTAAGACTGATTCACAGAAGAAAGTTTGTGAGAATGGGCAAAAGAGAAGGTGGCAGGAAATAAAACACTCAAAAGGCAGAATTGCAATTTTAGAGACGTATACTGTAGAAAATATTAGTTTAACCATCTGATATTGTTTCTATCATGATTAATATAACAATTTACTGCAAATCTTTATCACCAAAAGAAAAACTTTAAACACTAGAAAATGGAAATCACCAAACAAAATCTGACTTTTGTTTCCATTAGGTGACTAACCTACACAGTAATATGATGGGATTTTTCTAAAACCTTTTACCATTACAGTCTACAACTGTTATAACACACAGTCCCTATCTCTTTTTAGTCATTTCAATACTTGAAGCTTATAACAGCTTGTATACAGTGGTGTGAGAATTATTTGGGACAAGTGATTTTTATATAGTTTCATCTTGTGATAGCAATGGCTACATGTGTGTGTCTGTATCTCCCGACACCAGTCTCCTTCAGAACATCTGACCATGACCAGACATGTTGAGTGAAGTTGATATGAAATATTTCTTAAGTACCTTGTGCCTCTATTTCTTCATGTACTAGGGAGATAATACAGTGATGTGGGAATGCAATAATTTAGATATGGTTTCATTTTGGGACAGCAAAGTCATGTGCATGGATGCACATATGCATCCAGGGAAACTCATCTTTGTCTCAGAACAAAATGACAAGATGAAACCAAATTAAACTAATTTCCCCACCTTTTGTTAGTTCTCTACTGGTTGAGTGCTGTATCACCTGCTATTTACATGTGTTTCACTGATCTCTTTTGTTGTGCTTTTAGTTCTACAGTTTTAAAGAATGGTTATCACTCTAAATGAAGGTACAAAAATGTGAGCTCTTAAAGAGCACATTTCAATGACTGTTAGAGAAATTGCTGTGGCTGTTGGTGTGGAGAAGTCAAACATTTTAAGATCATTCAAGGCTATAGTGAAAAAGAGTCAATATAACTAAAACACAAAAGAAAACTGCAGTTGAAAATGATAAACATTGCCAAGAACTAACAGACTATAAATGCAAAAGAGCCTAATTAATCCTTAGAAGACAAGGAAAAACCTTCAGAGGGACCTGGCAACTGAAGTGGTTGTTCCTGATTCTTTTATATGCAGAGTAGGCTTCTTAAAAGTTGAAAGAACAATGAGAAGACCAGTAAAAAAAAAAGCATCTAACATTCCTATGAAACAAAAATGCTTGACAAGAGCAAGACAATATAAAGAGTAGAGGGCTGAAGACTGAAAAAGGTAATTTTTTTATTGATGAAATTCTTTTTTGTTCAAAGCTATACCAAAACTGTTGTTGGAAGAAGTTTAAGTGATCCTATAAGATCTAGGACTCTCCATCAGACCATATAAAACATCTGCTGAAAAATGTCAGGGGACTTTTTACTTCTAGTGGGCCTGGGAAGGACTGCCCCCACTGAAGCAATGATAAACTCTGATAAATATACCAATATACCGAGAAGAACTATACTAAAATGACAAAAATTCCCAAGCTGAGATGGAATATTGCACTACAACCTTTAACAATACCATATGCCATGAAAGACAGAGAAACGTGTCCAAGAGATTGAGAGAAACATGTTTCAATGGCCTGAGAACTCACCTGATTCAAACCCCATTAATAACCTATAGGGTCTAATAAAGGCTAGATGTGGGAAGAAGGATTATGCATCAAAGGTAGGTTTAGTATTCACTGTGATATGTGGTTTCATGATGAAGAATTAGAGAACTATTTGTCAAAGTCTTATGAACTCAATGCCAAATCACATAAAACAAGTGACTGCAGCAAAAAGAGGACATATTGCATGTTAAAAATTTATTTAAAGACATAAATAGTTGTAAGGCTTATTGATATATATGTGTGTGTGTGTGTGTGTGTATATATAAAATATATATATCAATAAATGTAATTATTTTAATTTGTCCCATTTAATTTGCACACCACTGTAATAAACTAAATTAAATACGTGAGTTTTAGAATTACAGAAAACACTGAAAGTCTCTCTGAAGGTAAATGATAAGAACCATACTAAAATAGTTTAAAACCTTGATGATAAAGAAAAGAATCAAGTAAGGTCAGGTGAATTTGTATATTTTGGGGCAAATCAATATAAGAAAATATAGCCAGAAGAATAAGCAACCAAAGGAATCAGAGATACAGGACCTAGCCAATTTGAACATCAGATGGTAGACATCTGTACATGGCCTTCCACTCTTTGGTAGAACCTCTTCTGACAGGCCCATTTGTATGAAACACCATCTGTTCAATCCCTACCTTTTTAAGAGCCAAACTATGAGAAAGAGTAATTTCAGATTAAGGTGAAGAAAATGTCAAGGGATATAGAACTAGGTTAACTCCACAAACTGAAAGACAGAATCAATTATGACTCCTCCTCCCTACAGTGGTGGGGGCATGAAATATGCTTCCAAATATATGGAGAAAACAGGATATCTCAGCTATCATTGATTCTGGAGGGTAGATATGAATAAATTCTCTAGTAGTGGAAAAATGTGTCAACCACTTTTTTTGCCCATTTATTAATTTATGTTAAATACTGGATTCTTCATGTTCTGCTATCTTCCCTATATCATTCTAGACTTTGAGGCTATCCCTATTGCCAGCAGGTATAGTAAGAAGAAAACTTAAAGGAAGATGAATTATATAGATCTGTATTTATATAAAACACAGTCTCTACGATCTTACCAATATTAATCTACTTAAGGTAGACTGGGTGGTAGCTAAAATTTTAAAAATTAAAGGGACATCTTTCTTAGGTGGGTGGTGTGGTGGGGGAAGGAGAGAATAAATCATTTAACAGAATCTGACTTTCTGGATCAGAGAGAAATACTCCAGTTGTATTTCTCAGACAGGTTTTGGTTTGGGTCACTGTACTGCTAATGAGCCTAACACATAAGCCTAACATAGATCTGACTGTCTATCTGCCAAACTGATAGGTTGATTAGAAGAAAAGTTAATCAATTTTAATGAATCAACTCATTTAAGTTCAAGTAAATAAAGTGCCAATATTTTCATTTAAAAATGCTAACAATCTTCATTTTTCATAGGGATGTTACTTTTTGGTTCCTACAGTCTGGATTGGTATAGGAGAAAGTAGCAGAAAGTGACATTTGTTCTTGCCTGTAAGGTTGTGGTTCTGCTAGACCCTCCTAAACCAATCCATATGTTTGTCTCTATGGAAAAAAGAAAAATGGAGAAAAAAAAGAGCGCCACAATGTGGGATGTGCTCCATATAACAAAACAAACAGCTTATATATACATATATATGCACATATATGTAATAGAAATATATACATATATACATACATATATATTTCCCTTTTGTTAAAAATGAATATTTTCCAATGGGGAAGACTGAATGACCCAGGCCTTGACAGCCATCTTCGTTCAAGTCATCTGTCTTCACTTGCTGGCAGGAGGGACAACTGAAGTCTGGATTGGCATAGTATGAACTAGCAGAACCGTCATTTACAGGTAACAACAAATTTACCTTCCAGACTCATGGCGAAGAGATCCACCTCAGGTGCCTCCCCAAACAAGGAAGATCTGGTTCACCACTTCCTGATCCAGGAACCACTCGTGTGGATTAATCTGTGAGCGACTCTCCTTCCCTGCAAGGTAAGCTGCAATCAGGAAGGTCCTGTTGGACATGGGCCATATCCAAATGCTAAGGGCCTCCCAACAACAACAGCGGAAAGTGATCCTATTTTTCATCTGCAAGAAAATATTTTTGTGGGAAGTTCCCTTTCTCCAGACTTCTTGTAAGCTCAGGAGTGTACTACAGCAGGGATTTCTAGAGATGCTTGGATCCTCAGTTAAGCGTATAGATATAATGCACACTAGAACTGACCACAAAAAAAAAAGTCTACATAGATTTACTCTATGTAGAGTGGGCCAAAATAACACTGATAATTTCATATAAACCCTCAGCATTAACGAATAAGATCAGAGGATAGTGCTTAGCTCTGAAATTATACATGAACCTGTCCCAACAGTGATAAAGAGAAAATGTAGATGAAAGTCACCATTACAGTATACTTTCAAGATTCACTTTAAGAGATAATTAATGTACTGGCATTTAGTGTAGAAACAGAAGTATGGGTTTGCTATAAAAAAAGTAAAGAGAATATGTTAAAATTTCACAAGAGGGAGAAAACAGTGATGAAGATTTAAAAAATAAGAACATACATCTGAAACCACAGAAAGTAGGATGAGGAAATCATGATTAACAGGACAAAATGAAATCCTTCTCTTTCTCACAAAACCCACTCACCTTGCAATTTGACAACAGGGTGTGTGTGTGTGTGTGTGTGTGTGTGTGTGTGTGTGTGTGTGTGTGTGTGTGTGTGTGTGTG